AATAGGCAAATCCATAAAGAGGAAAAGTAGATTAATACGTGCTAGGAGCTGGAGATGATAGGAATGGGGAGTGATTACTAACGTGTAAAGTTTTTCATTTTGCAGTGATAAAAGTATTCTGGAATTAGACAGGGGTAATGACCACATGATTTTGTAAATATACTGAAACCAGTGAATTACTTTAAAAGGGTAAATTTTATAATATGTAAATTAAATATTAACTTTAAGAAGATTTAATATGTTCTCAGATATAAAAAAATATATATACACATTTACTACATAGTTATTCCTCTTCCTCTTGGCCCATTCCCAAATCCTGAAAAAACACTGATATCAGGTGTCACCACTTCTTTTTTTTTTTAATTTTTTATTGTTATGTTAATCACCATATATTACATCATTTGTTTTGGTGTAGTGTTCCATGATTCATTGTTTGTTCATAACACCCGGTGCTCCATGCAGAACGTGCCCTCTTTAATACCCATCACCAGGCTAACCCATCCCCCCACACCCCTCCCCTCTAGAACCCTCAGTTCGTTTTTCAGAGTCCATCATCTCTCCTGGTTCGTCTCCCCCTCTGACATACTCCCCTTCATTCTTCCTCTCCTGCTATCTTTTTCTTTTTCTTTTTTCTTAAAATATGTTGCGTTATTTGTTTCAGAAGTACAGATCTGTGATTCAACAGTCTTGCACAATTCACAGCGCTCACCACAGCACATACCCTACCCAGTGTCTATCACCCAGCCACCCCATCCCTCCCACCCCCCACCACTCCAGCAACCCTCAGTTTGTTTCCTGAGATTAAGAATTCCTCATATCAGTGAGGTCATGTGATACATGTCTTTCTCTGATGGACTTATTTCACTCAGCATACAGGTGTCACCACTTCTGTGTTACCTGGCCTACCTCCAGGTACTCCCAGTTGAAAAGCATGGGCCTTGGGTGCCAGAAAGGGAATGGAGGAGACAGAGGTTCATGGGCCCATTTGGTGTCACCCAAGAAGGAAACATTTTCTAATCCATTTTATCAAGAGGAAAAAAAAAAAGATTTCACATGGTTGGAAAAGCCCTTAAAATTCTTTATCTTATTGCTCTCATTCTATATTCATCAAACCACTTTCCCAAAGGTTCTAACATGAAGAAGGGAGCATATCCCATCAGTAGAGAGGAATCACCTCCACTGAAAATCATACCTAATCTATCTATCTACCTACCTACCTTTGTGCTCATTCATTTAACCTCCAGTAACCTGATGAATCTGAATCACTTGTCTTGCATCAGACTCTGGGATACTGAATAAAAACTAAGAGCCAGACTCTGGATGAAGGTAAATTCACCTCAATCAAGAAGGACAAGTAGATTTTAGTCCAGATGCTAATTTTGACATATTTACAGTTGGGAAAGACTCCGCAATGAGCAAGATCATGAGGACATGTCTGAGTAGTTTGACAGACGATCATGCTTGATACGGAGTGTCCGCCTTGAACACAGGCAGGAAAGTCATGCTAACTGTACCACATGGCTCGCACTCTGAGATACGGTGTTCTCTCAGGGGCCTCTAGCCAGAAAACCTCCTGGCCACATCCCTCTAACCTTGAAGTGCTGTGTCTACATTTCATAAAGAGAGCTTTCTGCTTTCAGTACTATAGAACTTAATTTAAAACATAGAAAATCGGGATGCCTGGGTGGCTCAGTCTGTTAAGCTCTGCCTTCGGCTCAGGTCATGGGATCGAGCCCCACATTAGGCTCCCTGCTCAGCGGGCAGGCTGCTTCTCCTTCTGCCTGCTACTCCCCCTGCCTGTGCTCTCTCTCTCTCTGATTTCAAAATAAATAAATAAATAAGATACTTAAGACAAAAAATTGAATGCTCCATTGCAAGGACAGCAACCTATCCCTTCCATTATTCCATCAATGAAAAAGTAAATGGCTTATTAGAAAATGCTTCTTTAAGTTTCTGTTTTCCAGGGTAAGTCAAGCACCCCATACATTAGAAAACTTAGGAACAATTCTCCACGTTAAAATTATTTTTGTAATCAAGTCCCACCCCCTTGCTAGTTTCACCTCCCAAAGCTGTGGTGACTAATGTCTCATACTTGAAATCGTTACTATTCCCTGTCTACACAGAGGATTTGTGAGGGATGGCGGGAAAGGGGGGGCGGGGGTTGAAGAAGGTAGAATGGATTTAAATGTTCACTCAGCATTCTTGAATCAGAGATGGAAGATGCCAGATGGGGCCTCATCAGGAGGTTAAGGCTTCTACTAGCCAAAACATGTATTTAATGCCTTCTTTATTCTAATCATGGTTTTAGGGCTGACTTTAGTAGAGCAGTTCTGGACTTATTTCAGGTTTCTGAATGCATTTGTTGAATAAATCAGTAGCTTAACACAGCATGCTGTTTCTAGGCAGGTTTGTTCCAGTGAAACACAGGAGGAGAGAGTCCATGTGTTTGGTCAGGTCACCCAGGCCAACAACCCTTTGCAAAGCACACTGGCCTCCTCCCTTTCACAAAGGCCTCCAAACTGCAGATCGAATCGAAGATCAAAGCTACTGAGAAACTGTATCCTTGCCCTCTCACCCACTATTCCCACAGCTAAGGAACACCAAAAAGGTTTCCTGTAAATTTTCACAAGTAGAAGCACTCAGACATACCCAAAACGTCAACTCTTCTGTTATTTAGTGTTCTATTAAAATCCGTAGTCTTCTCTTGCATTTAGCTTTTAGTGTTTCCTCAGCTGAAGAGAGTATTTAATAAGACAGGGATATTTTCCTAAACAAGAGAGACTAGGTCAAAATTAAAAGAGAAACACATATACCCAAAAATGTTAGTGGGGAATGTTCATACTCCTTTGGAATGTGGGAGGTAATTTATGCCATAAGAATGTATTACTGGGGTGCCTGGGTGGCTCAGTTGTTTAAGTGCCCAATTCTTGATTTCAGCTCAGGTCTTGATCTCAGGGTCATGAGATCAAGAACCGCATTGGGCTCTATGTTGCGTGTGGGTTGTGGGATCAGGTCCCGTGCGGGGCTCTGAGCTCAGCATGGCATCTGCTTGGGGTTCCCTCCCTCCCCCTCTGCCTTTCCCCCAGCTCCCTCTCCCTCTCCCTTTCTCTCTCTCTAAATTAAATAAATAAAATCTTTAAAAAAAGAATACATTACTGATATAATCAGAACAATAAACATAGCTACTTAGTAAAAATAAATTATTAACAAAAGGATAGAATTAGCCCTAAAATAAGAAAATCAAGTGCTTTCTTTGGCTAATCAGAGCAAAGTATAGGATTCAGTGGTTTTTATCAGAACCAACTGGTTCATCAACTCGAGTTGAATCCAACCAGTCCCTTCCCTCTGGCATTTCCGGGCGAGCTTACTACCTCAGAGGAAGCAGGAGACGGAGTTACAGAGAAGCAGGGACAAGACAGGAGGAAACAATCAAGCCTTGCAATTGCATGAGCTCTCAAGTTATTTTATTTCAAACCTTTCTAACAGGAGAGGAGAACGATGTGGTGAAAGAGGTAAGTCACTTCTAGTTTAGTCTCAATACAGGAAGCCATTTTTAATACCCCTGTCCTCAAACTGGAATTATAGCCAGTTTCAATTTGTCTTCCTCCTGACCCATCTACCTTTGGTGAAAGTGCTAATAAAAATAAAATGGTCCAGGCATGAGGCATGGGGGAGACATGAGAGGTCAACTTAATGCTGATAGTTGACCTTATCTTGCAAACGTTAAACATCCTTCGGTAACTGTAACCCAACAAGTAACCAGACATCCACATACATTTCCTTGTGAGGATGTACAGCTCAGAGAAGATAAAGGTCTCATTCAAAGCTGTCTATTAACAGGTCAGCGTTTCTAATCAAAAGATCTCCACCATGTGGCCATCACCTCAACATTCCTCACAATCCCTGATAATACACAAGAAAACAGCGAGTGCCTTCAGGCCCTGGGATGCCAGTTCAAAACGGACATTAGTCAGCCTCTTCCAGAACACGGGTTCAGTTAGCTAGCTTATATTTGCTTTAACTCTCGTAATATTTCCTTAATGCTCCATAATTCTGAGAGCTGATGGTTTTCTAATGTAAATGAGGGGGTGTGCCAGGCTGGCTGCAGTTGGGGTGGCCTGGCTAGGGTGGGTTTGTTCCGTGTGACTTTCACTCTCTTCCAGGGGCCAGCAGGTTAGTCTGGGAAGGCTGTCTGCACAGTGAAGGCAGAACTCAAGGTCAGAGACACAATTCCCTGTAGGGCTCAGGCTCTACTCGTGAACTATCACTTGTGTCTCATTTGATTGGTGAAAGCAGGTCATAGAGCTGAGACACACAGCAAAGGTTGGGAAAACACCTCTGCCTCCAAAGAGACATGGTAAGAGTGTGGATGCAGGGAAGGGCCACAACCTCAGTCTCCCACAGCCCCCGACAAATTATTTACATGGGGATGTTTCTACAGGAAATCCCAGGGCCTCATATAATATTAAGCATAACAAGAAGGAGGTGTTAACACATGTTGGAAATATACAGAAAATCGCATATATTAATATAACCAATAGCCTTGTATCTACCTCTGATAATTAACAAATTAATACTTTTACCTATTTGCTTTTCGTATTTTTTACAAAATATCTTAGAGTTTAAGCACTCTGTATACCCCTCCATAATTCTATTTCCCTCCCTCTTCAGGGGTGCCTATTATACTAAAGTTAATCTGTGCATATTTTTATACTTTTCTTATGTACACAGCCGTTCATGAAGCCAGCCATGGCCCAGAAGACAGTCACCTAGCCTTATCATTTTCTGTTAATGTTTAGTCAGCATTTCCAATAAAATTACCTTCTTCAGATCAAACACTTTTACATAGGTCCTACATGTGACCCAAATAGCTACCCAGGGAATATTCAACTTTGACTTGCTTCATTCTTGTATTTTTTGTGTGTACCTCACACTAAATTAAAAAAAATGAGAGATGCAACATTCTGAGGCTAAATAATTCAACCGGCTGTTCTTTAAAGAGCGTGGGGGCAATTCACATTACCAGGGGAAGAAACGTCATAAGGAAAGCAAAAGCCAAATGTTTCCCACAGGAGTCCTCGTTTTTGCTGTCTTGATGTCAACTGGTAAGTCAAAAAACAATTTTAGAATCTCGGCTAATTTAAAAAAAATTTTAATAAAAGATTTAGAAGTCATTAATATCACAATCACAACAGAAACTTACGTAGTTGATGACTGAAAATGGACTAGGAAGAATATGTGGTTGGGGATAGGGGACCCTCCATGATTTCCACCTGAATATTGTGATTCTTTAACAAGGGAAACAGAAAAGTGGAATGGAGGACTTAAAAGAAAAGTCTGTCAATCTTGGTCTAGGATTTAACTGGAACATCATTAGAAAATAAAGAGTCTGTGTAAGAATGGAATTTGGAGGACTCCTGATAACGGCAACTGGTGTGGATTAGGACAAGCGGAATGCTCCCTTAAGAGTCAGGAGAGAAAAATGAGTCAGTTAATAAATTGTCTAATATCTGCCTCAAATCCCAGGGATAAATATTTGTTGCCAAAGTGATGGTATTATATCTCGATCAAGATGTTGACTTGAAGCTTGGCTCAAAGGTATAAGACATTTGAAACCCATCTTCTAAAAAGTATATTAAAGAATATACTTTAATGGCCATATTCTGTAGCTCCTCTCATAGCACGTATATTAATGAATAGTAAAGTATCTTTAAATAAAATCAACAGTCAAATTAGCTGGTTCTTGCTTTTGCTTCTATTTTGTTAGTTTATTTCAAAATAAAAGGATGAGTTTGCTAACTGCATCTCTCTGTGAATGTTAACACTGGAAATCCAGGAAATTTAATTCAATTGAGTATTTATCTACTGCTTACTAAAGAGAAGCTCTACCTAAAACAAGTGTGTACAAAATACACCGAGACAGCCAGCCCCTCCTCCAAGCTTTACTGCTATACAATTTTTCATATAATTATTTCTGGTAATATTTCTACTCCCTTCTTTCCCTTGTGTTTTCCCTCCACTCTAGGCTAAATTGGTCTGACAGGTTCTTATTTCTAAGAATCTCTCTCCTCCATGTTTGCGGATATGAAAGAGATTTATTTAGTGCTAAATAAACTTTGCTAGTTCAGAGTCTGTTTCTTCTCTAATTCAAACATTTTCTTGGATTTGATTATTAGGACTGGCAATAAAGGAACATTTCAAAGTTACTTTAGAATTTCTAGAATTATTTCTTTGAGCCATGCTGTTCATTTTTGCTTCACCTAAACATAATGGTCCCAAGTAATAAGCAAAGAAAGTTTGAAAAGCACAATCTATGCCACTCATGAGTCAATAATCTGAAACAAACTGTAAGGATGGAGATTAATGCTTATAAATACACAGTTATAAATACTCTGTATGTAATAAAACAGAATTTTATGGCCAGGGAAAAAGCTAATTTTCCATCTGAATCCAGAGTTAAAAGGCAGACCTGCCCAGAACCTACAGAAAGAGAAAAACTAGTGAAAACAGAACTTTTGAATCCACTGGGAGACATGTAAGATAAACAGAGACTGGAAATATGTGAAGTCAGAAAATCTGCTTCTCATGTTTCTCTTTCTTAGCACTGGCTGGACCATGGGCTAGTATCTGCGCCGGCAAGTCTTCCAATGAGATCAGGACGTGTGACAGTCACGGCTGTGGCCAGTACACTGCTCAAAGGTATTCTTTTTTTTTTTTTAAGATTTTACTTATTTATTTGATAGAGAGGATGAGAGAGCAAGAGAGTATGAGAGGGGGGAGGGTCAGAGGGAGAAGCAGACTCTCCGCTGAGCAGAGAGCCCGATGCGGGACTCGATCCCAGGACTCCAGGATCATGACCTGAGCTGAAGGCAGTCACTTAACCGACTGAGCCACCCAGGCGCCCTGCTCAAAGGTATTCTTAATGGTTCTTAACCTCTCTGCTTAGTGTCCTTGCCTCAAGCGCTCACAGTCACCTCTCTCTGACAGCAGGATTCAGAGATGAAAGCAGCTGTACTAGTATCTTTAGAGTAGCTTCCAAGAACTCTGCTTCAAGTATGGGCTCTGAATTGGGAACACAGCATGTAATAAAGAAAGAGGGAGGGGAACAAACATATAACAATCGTCATCAATCTGACTTTTCAGGTACTAGCCTGTTCGGCTGGAGAAGAGGTTGGTAAGAGTGAGCATAAAGACAACAGTGAGGCTTGTCAGAGACAACTTAAAGAACACTCACAAGCTGGGATCATTTCATGTTTGTGCTACATTCACTGTAATAAATTCAGGAGTTATCACTCACTGTATTAAAATGTCATATACAGTAAATGATGTTTTAAAAAGATTTACTTGAGAGAGAGAGAGGGGGAGAGAGCATGCACACAGCAGGGAGGGGCAGAGGGAGAGAGAGAGAGAGAGAATCCCAAGCAGACTCCACACTGAGAGGAGAGCCCAACTCGGGGCTCCATCCCAGGACCCCGAGATCATGACCTGAGCCGAAACCAAGAGTTGGACACTTCACTGCTGGAGCCACCCAGATGCCCCAACAGTAAATGCTGTGTATAATGACTTCTGGATTACTGAGACAAAAATCAGATGAGGGTAATGTGATTCTTTTATGATAGGTCCCCATAAAAAGACAACTCTTTTGTAAGTGGCCTTGAAGAGGTTAAGATTCATATATCTATAAAATTTACTTACAGAGATAGCTGTCTCATTTCCCCCAAAATGCCATATAGTAATCAAAGTTCATAAATTCTTAAAGGCTCTCTAAATACCAAATACTATCTTAAATGCTTTAATCTTTACAATATGATTATTACTACCTGCAGGTAGGGAGGTTAAAATTGAGATAAAGAAGAGTAAGGAAACCTGGGACATCCCAACATGTTCTCCAGTTTCAGGGTTTGATATCCTAGTCTGGGAACAGTGAGCGAACGCCACATTTCTGGACAATAAAGTTCCCAGGGCATTTTCTCAGTCTGTTCATTCTTATTTACATTCTAGAAATCACAAGTCTCACCCAGGTGTGGATGTCTTGTGCTCTGATGGATCTACCGTGTATGCACCTTTCACCGGAATGATTGTGGGCCAGGAGAAGCCTTATAAAAGCAAAAATGCCATTAATAACGGTGTTCGGATATCTGGAAGAGGTAAGAGGTGTTGTATACACCTGGGACACATCCTGGAAATGTTTGATGGTTATTTATTTAATGCATCTGCCATAGACCAAAGTTTCATACTTCCTTCAAAATGATGACATCTACAATAGAAAGGACATAGGGCACCAAACGAAAACAGCTCTTCCCCTGATACCATCTTCCTTACGCACACACTCTACCTAACCCCACAGCTGACTGAAGGACTTTCTTCTTGTGGCCCATGTGGTTTTGTCCAACAGTCTACAAACAAAATCACTTTCAAGAGTATTCACTTTAATAAGTAGATACTTTCATTTACCAAAATCCCACACTTCAAAGATGTTAGCATTCCTGCAAAAGTTGACTGGAAAATATTTTCCAAGGCCTCTTTGTTCTAGGTAAAGTTGGGTCACCTAGTACTCCAGGTATGGGCCTATTCTTTATGTTTTGTTTTTTTTTTTTAATCCACTGAGGTATAACACTCACACAGAAGAGTGCACAAAGCATAAGCACACAGCTCCTAAACTTTCACAAAGTAACACTATATAACCATCACCCAAACAAGAAAAAAAAATTCAGCAGCATCCGAGAGACCCCCCTGGGCTATCTATACTCATTCTTCCCAGCAAGGATAATCACTATGCCACCATACGCTAGTTTTGCCTGTCTTGGGAAATGATATAAACAGAACGAAACAGTATGCAGTCTTCTTTGTGGGGCTTCTTTCATTCCACATCATGTCTGCAAGATTTGCTTTGCATGTGATTTCATTCTCAATGATGTAGGCTGTTCCATTACATGCATACATCTTCATCTATGTAATTATCCTTCTCTAAATGGACATTTCGGTAGCATCCTGTTTTGGGTGACTACGAAAATGCTATGAACTTTCCTGCATGCATCTTGTAATGAACATAAATATGCATTCCTTTTGGAAGTGAGCCCTGAAGACACTGCCCTCACCCCAGCCCTGAGAAAGAAACACTCCGTGAGGGACCTCAGGTTCTTGAGAAGCTGTCCTCTATATGCCCAAAATGACAAGAGAAACTGCTGCCACCGGAAAGGGTCCACTTAGTAGACAAGGCCAAGGTTGGCATGGTTACCCAACAGGCAACAGAGCTGAAGCGGTAATCAGATTCATCTGAAGCACAGAGATCTGTGGCATTGTCTAACTAATCATGGTGACCCAAGAGCTGAACACATGGGCACTAAAGCTTTATTTGATTTGTATAAATGGGAACACTCTGATGAACAAAACTGTGACTTTACTCATCACAAGAGTGGGTCACAAAACCTCCCCCCACCCTCCACCAACTCCCAGACTTGACCCAGTTCACAATCCCAGAGCCCCTTGAAAGAAACCGGGGCTGAGTCTCTTTGAGGAAGGGCTCTGTGACACGGCTGAAAATGTATACCAATGAACCTTACTTCTAGCTATCCTCAAAGGGACCTGCAGTTATTTAGCAGGATGGCTGTACATTGGGGAAGAAGAAATAATTAGGCTTCTTAGAGATTACTGGACACTCACTCAAAGATGACACTAATCCTGGATGTCCAAAAGGCCACTGTGGTCAACGAGTCAGACTGGAGGCTTCCAAGGTCAGGTGATCAATGTAGTTTCTCATCAGGGTCCATCTGACAGTGGTCCCAGTGTGTCCACAAATCCACTCTGTGGCCATTTCCCCAGTTCCTGAATGCATAATTGGCATCAACACAGTGAGGGCAGAATGCTGTAGGAGTGGGCATGCTGGGTCACTTGGGCTATGTTCACCTTCTGCGTTAGCAGCCACTGTTAGTTTCCTAGAGTAGTTCTTCCATTTTACACACCGACCAGGAGTGGATAAAAGTTCCAGTTGCTCCATATACAATACTTGGCACTATCTACCTTTTTCATTTCATCCATTCTGATTAAGTATGTAGTGGTACCTCATTGGCTTTAATGTGCATCTCCCTGATGGCTAGTGCAACTAAGCACCTTTTCATATTTATTGATAACATGGATATTATCTTTTGAGAGGTGCCTATTCCAGTATTTTGCCCTGTATTTTCTGCCTTTTTCTTATTGGTATGTAGGAGTTTTTGGTGTATTGTAGATATGAGTCCTCTGTCAGATCTGTGTGTTGTAAATATCTTCTCCCACTTCATGAATTACCTTTCACTTTCACTTTTTTTAAGATTGTAATATTTGATAGAGAGAGAGAGAGGGATCACAAGTAGGCAGAGAAACAGGCAGAGGGAGAGGGAGAAGCAGGTTCCCTGCTGAGCAAGGAACCCAATGTGGGGCTCCATCTAAGGCCCCTGATATCATGACCTGAGTCGAAGGCAGATGCTTAATCGACTGAGCCACCCAGGTGCCTCTACATTTCACTTTCTTTATGCTGTCTTTTAATAAACAAAATTCTTATTTTTCATGCAGTCCAATTTAATATTTTCCTTTATTGTTAGCACACTTTTTACCCGTTTAAGACCCATTTGTCATCCTAAAGTCATAAAAATACTGTTTTCATCTGTAAACTTTGTTTCATCTTTCATATTTAAATGTACAATCCATTTGGGATTGGGTTTTATGTAAGGAATATGGTAGGGATCAAGATCTTTTTTTCTCATATTGGTATCTGACTCAGTACCATTAACTTGACAAGACTGTTTTCTCCTCTACTGTTATTGCAGTATAGTATTTTTTGTCATAAATGATGGTCTGAATATACACAGGTCTGTTTCTGGTCTTTCTATTGTGTTTCATTGGTCACTGTGTCAATCTTGCACAAATACCACACTGTCTTCATTACTGTAGCTTTAAAATACATCTTGATATCTGATAGTATAAATCTTTCAACTTTTGTCCTTCTTTCAGATTGCCTTCACAATTCTTGGTCACTGGCATTTCCAGATACACTATAGAATCAGTTTATCAATTCCCACCAAAAATTCTGCTGGGACTTTGACTGGGTTTGCACTGATTATATAGATCAAGAAAAATTGATTATCTTAAAAGTAGTGAATCTTCCAATGAATAGACATGTTATATCCTCCATTTATTTAGGTCTTCCTGCACTGTAATATTAGTTGTCATATTGGTTTCCAGTGTTGAGGCTGTGTACATACTCTGTTTCACATGTACCTAAGACTTTCTGTATTGATTTTGTTTAGATTTTCTATAGCAGTACTGTCCAATAGAATAAAAGTCATGTATATAATTCAAAATTTTCTAGTAGTTGCATTAAGAAAGTTAAAAAACAGGGAAAATAATTTTAATAATATATTTTAACTCTGTATCTTTAAAATATTATCATTTCAAAATGCAACAAAAAATTACTAATATTTTACTTTTTTTGTACTCTCTCCAAAATCCATCAGGCATCTTATACTTAAAAGTACATCTGTGATTAGCTACACTTCAAGTGCAGACTAGCCACGTGTAGCTAGTGGCTACCATGGAGGACAGCACAACTCTAAGGCGTTTCTTATGTTTTCTGTTCACTTGCCTGTTTTCACTGATATGTGTGTTAAAATCTATTACTGGTGTGTTTCTATTTCTCCCTGTATCTCAGATAGTCTCTGCTTTCTATACATGGTTTCTGTGTTATCTGGCATATGGACAGTTGCAACTGCTGTATCTTCATTGTATTTTGCAGTATAAATTGTCCTCCTTTGTCTTGTTTCTGTGATTTTCGGCTTGAGTTATACTCTCTGATAATAGAATCATAACCCTTGCTTGTCTTATTATTTCCATCTGCTTGACAAATCTTGATCCAGCCCTTAATTCTTTGCCTTTTTCTTTTATTTAAAGATTCTATTTATTTATTTGAGGAGTAACAAAGAGACAGAGGGAGCACAAGCAGGGGGAGGGGCAGAGGGAGAGGGAGAAGCAGACTCCCCACTGAGCAGGGAGCCCGATGCGGGACTCGATCCCAGGACTCTGGGATCATGACCTGAGCCGAAGACAGATGCTTAACGCACTGAGCCACCCAGGCACCCCTTGCATTGTGTTTTATTGAATACAGCATAGAGTTGGGTTTTGGTTTTCAAGCCAGTAGGAATTTTCTTTTTTAACAGATGAGTTAACATTTATAGATATACCTCATGTATGTGGTCCCAACATCGTGATATTACATTATAATTACAGTATTAACTCTACTTCTCCATTTGGTGGGTCTTTGTTTTTAAATTTTTTTTCTTTCAATGTTTAGAAAGATTTGCATTCTTGTGCCAATTATGTCCATTTTTCTTTGTCTTTCAAGTCTAATCACTTTATTAGAATAGGTCTTGGAGTTGAAATTATCCTGGGTGAGAACAAGAAAATATGTTAAAAGTCTCAATTTTCTCAGCAACCTAGTGTTTTTCTGCTATTTCTCAATGTCTTCATTAAATCCTCATTTGAATCTATTCTCCCTTGGGCATCTAGTCTTCATTTCTGATAGAATTTTGTCACCTTCCTCTGTTCCCTCACTGAGTTCAATCAAGTCTCATTTCTTTTTGTCTTCTCTTTTTTGTTCTTATTTTTTGAATTTCTGATTCAAGGCTACTGAAACCCAGATGATAACTAATTTAACTTCTTTTCTTTTAGGTTTCTGTGTTAAAATGTTCTACATTAAGCCAGTTAAATATAAAGGTTCTATCAAGAAGGGAGAAAAACTGGGAACTCTACTGCCCTTGCAGAAAGTCTATCCTGGCATACAATCCCACATACATATTGAAAACTGTGACTTGAGTGATCCTACCATGTACCTCTAAGTAGAAGACACATGACCAGGTCTACTAAATATAAAACCATCTCCTTAAAAACCTGGATGCATCCCCTACTCTTCAAGAAATTTGTGTCCAAATAACATGATGCACGCAACAAAGAAAACAGCCTGTTTCAATTCATTGCCACTTGAATGTTTGATTGTCAACTAATTTCTGAGAGTTCGCTGATTTTTCTGTCAACTGTGGGATCTGAGGGGTTTTTACCTGTTTGTTTTTTAAAGTTTCTCAGTCCTGAACACACAGAACAAATAAACATACGAGTTCCAGTCTCTCCAGACTGCATTTCTGACACTTCTAAGACTAGCTACCTTTTCTGCCTAAAAATAAGAAAAAGCCTGAAGCTGTTTTCCTGGCACAATAGAGTGTTGCAAAATGCCAGACACACACACATACTTCATAAATATTAAGTGAACAAACTGGAGTTAAACTCTGAGTAAAGGTAGGGAAGCATTTCAGCAATATCCTCAGGTTTGTCAAAGTGGTCAAAGGGTAAGCTGTATGCATGGGTAAGATGGAATTGGCTGGTCTTCATATCCACACTTCCCCACACTATATGAGCAGAACACTTTCTAAATCATAAATTATGGCAGTCCAAGAAAATACATCCGTATTCTCGATTTCAGTAAGACTGAATTACGGGAGGTACTAGGATGAGAAAGAGGTCTATTTTAACCTGAACTTAGCTCATGAAACCAAGTACCTCATGGAAACTCAGCCTCATCTAGCCAAATGCCTACCACAGCTACTTATGTCTACACATCATTTTTAACCTAGATTATTCTTTCTTAGTTATGTTGACAACAGGTAGGAAGGGGAAATAAGACCATACGAATGCTCCAAGGACCAGAAATAACTGGCTCCCTAGATTTTAGTTAGTAAGAAATGAGTAAGTTGAATTTATCATTCTGGAAACTTTTCATGAATTTTTTGCTTAAATCCTTTTGGAATGTAGAAAACTCCAGCAGAAAGATTCCATTCTTAGTACAGATGTGCTAGAGGAAAATATAATTAATTATATTATTTGAGCTTTATTATCGGAGAGTAGCTGCATTTGTATGCTAGGACATACGTATAAGAATGTCCATGATGTCACTATTTGTCATGGCAAACCCTGGAACAACTCAAATGCTTATCTACAGTTGATATGAACAAATGAACTGTGATTTAGTCACAGAATGAAATAGTGTACAGTGGTCACAATAAATGAGCCTCAGCTAAACGTAACAAAATGGATGAGTCATAGCAATGTCATTCTGAGTTTAAACAAAAGGCCTAAGATTATATATAGTAGGATACTCTTTATAAAGTCAAAACAATTAAAACCAAAATGTAATTTTTAGGAACACATATATATGTGATAAAAGTATATGAAAAGGAAGTCAAGCAAATGATGAACACTAGTTACCTCAGGACTAAGTAAGGGAAGCCACGCAGAAAAATTAAAGTTATTGTCATGTCAATGTTGCCATTTTACAGCTGGGAGGTGATTTCATGAGTATTTATTATGATAACATGTTATAGTAAGTAACAAGACTTGCCGGTGGGTGGTCAGAAAGAAGAAAGAGTTAATGATGACTCTCACTTCAGTTTCTACAACACAACTGGTATATTCTCATATCCAATTACATATTATTCTCTACCATTTCATAACATCTCATGTAAAGCTAACAAATTAAGAATTTAATTTTTAGTTTTTTAAGAAAAAAACTATAACCAACACTGTCTGGTTTGACCATCTACCTTATTAATCTCCGTAGTGCCAAATCACTTTAGGTTGTTTCCAGAAATTAAATTTGCTTTCAAAGGACAAAGGCTGTGTTCCCATTCAGAACACAAAATAGGAATTAGCACAGAGACAATTTTTAAAGGAGCTCTAAAATGTTTGAACAATAAATAATTAACCTTCTTAAGTGACTGTTTTAAAAACCAGACTCGTTACCTGGAACGGAGAGCTTCCGCAAGGTAAAACAAGAACGGTCCCTTTTGCCTAGCACTCCATAAGCACTCTCATACCTGTTCAATGGAAATGCAAACTGCAGTCTAAAGGACTGTTCTCTCAGGAAGAACCAGAATACGGCGCCCTCTGGTGTGCTTCATCAGAGGGTTTTTTTGTCTTTTTTTTTTAATTTCCTTTTCTTTTTAGATCTGGGTGTCAAAATGTTCAGTTTAAAGTATTGTTAAGGTTCAAATGACAGAGAAGTGATGGTACTGAATAACATATTTTTCCTTACTGAAAATGACCGTAAAATATACTTTGGAAACTGTGACCCAGATACTAGGTTTGATGACTGTAAATTAATAATGCAAACACAATTAATTTTTACTTATAAAATGTTTTGAGTTTTCTGCAGAAAGGTAATTTAATGGAAGAACAAGGTAAGTGGCCATTTTAATCTAGAATCCTCTAATCTTAAGTAAACAGTACTTTTCATAGACTTCCAAAGTAAATGAAGACATTTTCATTATATAAAGCATAAAAATACTCTCTACTTTCTTGTCTTGATTCGGCTATCCTAAAAATGTTTGCTATTGAAGTTATAAACCCAGTATGTTAGGCCAACCAGGGTCATGAAAATGAGCTGATCAATTCTATTGAGTTTTCGTTTAAGAGTTCTTATAGTGCTTAGTTTACTAGGTCCGACTACTAAAAACCACTAATAAAAACCACTACTAAAGACCACCTTTTAGAGTGGCAACTTCTCATCAATGTACAAGAGGCCACGGGTACTCATTATTGTTCTGTGCTAGCAGGCAACAGGCAGAAACTCCACCTTGATCTCCCTTCGTCAGTCCCTCTCTGTTTTACTCTTTAGTGAAACCAACACTGGCATCCTACCACCCACTATACAGGTATATATACTCCCACCCTACTCCTCCACTGCACATCACGTTAGCCAGTGAGACCAGAGTTCACCTCTCCAGTATTTCCATCATTGCTCTGACCTCCAACCAGCCTGACCCTCCAACTCAGGTTTGCCATTTCCTTTATGTCTGTCCTGTTATCCTAACCAGACCTTGAGTGCCCTACAATATGTTGCTTCTGTACTCTCCCGAAATCTTAAGGTACAAATCACATGATCTGCAATAGTAACAACTGTCTTTAAGAATCTGATTCTTTAAACAGTATTTCAGCTCCACTCACATTTATTGAGGGTATACGAATGTGCCACACAGCAATCTGAGAGTCTCAAACACAAAGGTGAAGGAGGGAAGATGCCCGTTCTTACAGAGCTCACCGTGAGAAAGGACGTGGTACAGTGTGGAGAATGGTTGCACAAGTAACTCTCTACAAAAAGAGAGACATAAAATATGCTCTTTTTAAAAATTACCACTTACAAACCACAAGGTATGGTAATTCTAATTTAACAAGTAAGAATATTTAAAATTTTTCCTAATTAAAAAATGTGCAAAGCTGGAAAATAAACATATTTTTTTAAGTTTAATTGCTTTCTTAGAAAGAAAATGAAGATGTTGGAGAAAGACATAAGGGAACAACTCTGGAAATGAAAGTACCTAAGTAAAATTTACTGAGTGTCTACTATTTGCTAAATATTATGCTAGATGCTAGGGATACAACAGTGAGCAAAACCTGACAGTGTTCTTGCACTGATAAAGCTCACAGTGCAGTAGAATTAGCAGAGAATAACCATACAAGGGAATGGCAAATTACAATGGTGGTAAGTGCCACAAATGGAAGTCACAGAGTACTGAGAGTCAGAGGCTCTCCTGAGGAAATGACATCTAAAGGAAAGATCTGAGGGAGCAAAGAGAGCGACGTAAGTAGAAAGAGACTATATCCTCATGCACTCTGACTACAGGGCCCATGGCAGTCTTAAGGACCTTCAAGAGAATGGAGCAGAAAAGCAAGGGGAAGCTCCGTGAGCAATGAGGGCAAAGAAGCAGGGAGATGACAGACCATATAGGGTCTTGTAGATCATTTTAAGGATATATCTTTACCCTAACGGCAATCCATAACTACTAAAGAGTTTTAGCTGGGTTACTAATTAAATTATAAGATCCCTTCTGCAAAGGATCTCTAGCACGGTTCCAGACAGAGTAGTAGGTCAGTACATGCAGATTCCCTCCCAAAGACACTCCGCAAAATGTACGTTTTTCACTTAATCTTAGCCAAAAGGCCGAGAAGCGATCTCAGTAGCATATTTAACCAATTAATAATCACGGTATCTTTACAAAATGATCAGTATTAATTTTAATCTCATGCCCATCTTCTCCTGAGTTAATGTAATAAAGTAGAATTCAAAGTGTGTTAGAAATTAGAAATTGTTTGAGTTATAATACGATCTTATATAGTGCTAAAAATTAAGTACAATTAAGTCAGCCTCTGTGTCTATATTTTTATTTTACTTAGATTTTAAAACTACATATCTTGTAAAATATATTCATACCAAGATGAAAGAGAAGCAATTAAAGCAGTATAAAGTTATATATGTCATAATTTAGGGATCCAAAGCTCAATATTATAAATTTATTTAGCAAGCTAAAATGTGCCTTCAACAAAGTCTGAGGAACTCATCTACAAACCACGTGTAGTTTTTAGCCTACCACCTACCTAATCCACAATACAGGGTCTATGTCCTATTTATGGAAATTTCTGGCTAAACATTTCTCATAATTTTTCACATGTTTCTGCTGCAATCCATTAAGACAGTTTGCAAATGATAAGATATTTTACCTAAAATAGTTAGCAATGTATCTTAAAATTTATATTTGCATAGAAAGGAAGAAGCTAATCTTAATGGTTTAAAAAAAAAATTAAGAATCTTTGGTAGCCAATTACCAGACAGGTAGGACATCAGGGAACCATATTCTTCCCAGGTGTTTGGAGCCTTCAGTGTGAACTTAATCTAGGCTATACTCATCATCAGGGATCAAAACGTCTTCCATTACAGAGAGCTGGGTTAGTCTTTTCCCACACAGTCTTACAAATTCGACGAATGTACTGCAGCTAACTTCATATCCACTGAGGCCCAAGGCTGTTAAGTTTTTACAGTGTTCAGCAATACAAATAAGTTCAGTATCAAGAGTCTGAAGACCATGAGCATATACCACTAACTCAATTAGTCATGGACAGTTAAGGCCTATTCGTCCTAGAACTGCTTTGCTTACTGAGCGACCAAAATAAAGGTAACAGGGGTTTCTTCTTTGAAGAATGCCTCAAATTCTTCTTCATATAAAAAGAAATACATAAAAACATCCACTCCAGGGGAGTGTTTAATAAGTGCATCCCAACTTTGTCTTTTAATAGAATGAAACTCAATTTGTCCAGGATTTTCA